GACGCGACTCAGCTATCGAGAAATGCTTATAAGATTAATCCTTGCATGATTACAATGTCAATCTTATTTTAGTAAGGTTCGACCAACAACTTTCAACTCCCTTGTGGGATGTTAATGCCCACCCTCTTCGACGTAGTTGCCATTACTGGCTTGTCTCCCTTGGACAAAGTTTTTGATCATACTTTGTCGACGGAGCTCAAATTCCAATTCGACTGAGCCAGCTTTACAAATTATATTGAAGACCATCATGATACTCAAAGCACATATGTTTCTGATGAAGAAAACATTGCTTTCCTCACTATTTGGCTTTCCTACTATTTATTTTTCCTTGGGTCTCTGCAAGTGGCGAAAGGTTTTGTCCCTCTGGCCATTCAACTACACGAGGGTTGACAAATTTCTTTGGGTCTGCTGGCCTATCTTTATCATACTCTTATTGTTGCTTCCTCTAGGCTCAAAAGTATTTATGGAAATCCTAAGGGACCCGCTCTCTCAGGGCCATTTTGGCTTTTGCAACACTTGTTGAATGCTACCTTTGAGCATCGACTGACTTCTCCCTTATCAGAAGTTGTTGAACACTCTTTGGCGACCAGATCTATTGAGGGACTGAGGTTGTCGTTGCTCACTCCTCAAGAGGCTTTGACTAGGTATGTCTTTATGAAGTATATTAATTTGTTCATAGAGACCTCTTCTTTTGTCGAGGCTATGGCCCCACTCGTGAAAAGAATCGTTGTCCCTACATGGTTTAGGGATTTCTTTCCTGGAGTTAGCCCTAAAGCGGCTGCTAAATCAAACGTTGTGTGGAGAGCGTTTTTTACTCCTACATTTTTGTCCTCTCGAGTTAACACTGGATTAAAAGGCTATGGCTTTGTGACATACCAGCCTAACCTGGTTGCTCGAAAATTTAGCCTTAGCCAAATGATGTTGAAATCTCTGATCTCCCATCAACTTGATATCCTTTGGTTTAGACGACAATTGGATGACAAAGAATACATGGAATATCTCCATTATGTTAGAAACTCTCCACACCTTGAATTGCCTATGTTCAATTTTAAATCTTCCTTTTTCCATACCCAAGAGTTCGACTACTGGTGGTCTCAGTACCAGACGCAATATTTTTCTGCTACTGCCTTCTTGCAAAAAATTAATGGACACTTTCGAGGCTTGGGAAGCTAGACGGCCTTTTGTCGACCTCATTTATGAGGTTCCACCTGCTGACCAGCGGCAAAATCTTGATGTCGAAGCTCAAACTACTAAGGTACCTTTGGTTTCTTCCAACTTTTTGATTATCTCAATAAGACCTTTGTGATTTTATTATATTGTTTATAGGGGTAGAAACGTTCTTCGACCGAAAAAAATGTTGTCGTCGTGCCCCCAAAGAAAGCTAAAGTTTCGACTACCTAGGTACATACATGCATTCTTCTTCCATATGTTATGTTCATACCGTTGTATATTAGCACCTGAAATCTTTCATGATCCACTAGGTTTCTCAAAGGAAGCCACAACCTTTTATTTGTCCAGAAGGTCCCGGCCATAGTGACAATTCCTACATTTTTTCTTCATTCAAAGCTTTGACTCCAACCAATCCCAAAGGGCCCAAGAAACTCAAGAGAATTGTCCTTAAAGCCAACACCTTAAAAACTAAAAATGTTGGTGTTGATGCTCCGCCATCTCCTACTCATAATCAAGAGGAAACTTCACCTCCTCGATAACCAACTCCAACAATTCCAATTCAGGAAGAATAAAACATCCTACCCACTGAAGAGGTATTTATTTCTTACATCACTTCCTTTTACAAAAATAAAATCTTCTTTTAGCTCTTGTACTATTTTCAGGCACAAGTTCATGAGGAAGTGGTTAGAACTACTCCATCCATTGACACAACTTTAGCCAGAGATGCTGACGCCTTGGAAACTGGGAATGATCCCTCGATCAACATCACCTCCCACTCGACTTCGTATGATGGTCTTACTCATTGTTCAACTGCACACACCAGTGAAGAAAACACTGAAGCCAATCGAGATCCTGCCATTGATAATGCTCCTCCTCAGAAAAACTCTAACCATCAAGCTCCTATTGGCGATAATTTGGTACACTCTACTGTTGTCAATCCCCAGTATCACAACATCCTACAAGACACTGGCTCTAACATTTCTTTAAGCCAAGCATAATTTATGGCAATGAAACAAAAGCATATGGCTGAGACTCTACAGAGACTTCAAAAGCTCCGAAAATAACATGTCGTCCTTTCTTCTACAACTTCCTCTGTTACTGGTGTTGACTCTGATATAACTCTCAAATTGTAGAAATTAAAAGTGTACCTGCTCAATGGTGATTTCCTCCCAGTTGCTGTCGACGAGAGTGATTTGGTGGCTGATGTTTTTAAATTATTTTACGAGATCTCTCAGCATACCATCCCTGAGGATTGGGTTCAATAATTTATCGACCTTGAGGTATTCTTCCGCCAACCTATCAATGATCTCTCTTTAAGCAAACAAATCGACAACCAACTCCAAGCCAGCAATGTCGATATGGAAGCTGAGTGGAATCTCAACAAAGCTTGTAAAGAGAAATTAACTATCTTCGAGTCTGAAAACCAAGCGCGTGTCGATAAAGGATTCTCCTTTGATCAACAGATTTATTCCTACAAAACCCAAATATCTGATCTCCAGAAGAAAATAGCTGACGTCGAAAGCAAGAAGGCCCTGTTGGATTCGACTGAAGCGCTCCCAAGCCAAAGAAAAATTGATGAAGAAATTCAGAAAGGCATTACGCATGGAGAAAAGGATTTAAAGATTATAGGCGGGATTAGCGAGCTGATGACGAAGAAAACACGCCTCGACAATAATATATTTTTTCGAAAAGGCCCGCTTTGAAGACTTTAAGTCTCGTTTTCCTGCTTAAAAATCTTTATGGTTGCACTTTATATTTTGTTGAGTTTGACTCCCCTTCTTTTGGATCGGTAACCCCTTTGGGGAACTAATGGTTACCATTTTGGCGTTTCCTTCCATTTGGGCTACCACTAAGTTAGCGGTACACTTCTTATTCCCTGTCAATATGATCGACTAGATTTTTTACGGTTAGCTTTCGCCAATCCGCGCATGACAAAATAATCAATGGCAAAAACTTTTCAAGAGTTTTCAGAAAATTTGAATTAATTCAAATTTCTGGCATGTTATTAGAAGACTTCAAAATTTTCAAAATCTGAATTTATGAATTTTCTGCCTTTGCATGCAAAATTTATGAATTTTCTGACTTTGCATGCATATTACACTCTGCCCCCCCCCCCCCCCCCCCCCCCTCGCGCTAATTTTTTGGGGTTGAACATTTTGGCAAAGCCACCAACACTAAGATAAACCACAAACATTAACTGGTTTAAAATGCAAATCTTTGGTGAAACATCCAACATTAAGATAAACCCCAAACATTAATTGGTTTAAAATACATATCTTTTAGGCTTAATACACAAAAAATACAAATATAGGCATACTATATCACGCTACACCTAGTTTCTACACCTATTAATAAGTGGTTCTTAAGCCCTAAAGGCTTGTATCTTGCCTTCGGCTTTCTAAATCTATCTATTGGCCTCTTTATTGATATGGCTTTAACTGCCTATCTTTCAGCTCCCAAGGCCGAATATTTATGATATGTTCAGCCATAGGCCAAATTTCGAGTTAAACTTATCATTCACTGATCATCATTATTGACCAAAGGCCACCCCGTATGTGGAATCGAATCCCTAGACCATGCTGCCTTTTCAGAATCCCACATAAAACCACAATCAGGATCCAAGCTCAGAAAACGATTTGAGTTTTCATTAGGAGTTTAAATTTCATCATGACAAGACATCACATTTTCCAAATACTGGTCGAAAGACTTCTTTCCACCTTTAACCTTGTTGACTTTATAGTAGCTTTGATCAGCTTCTATATTTTCCACTGCGCCATATTTCTTCCAAATGGAAATCCTTTGATGCAAAGTCGACGGGACTGCACCTATTACATGGATCCATTCACGGCTAAGTAATTAATTGAAGTTGACTTTGGAATTTATGACCATCAACAAAGTCGACCTGGTTGTTGTTCCAACACCCAATTCGACCTGAATGACACCCAGTATACTACTGATTTTTACTTCATAGTTTGATAAAACCATGTTGTGAGGTCGAAGCTCTGACCCACACTTCCCCATTTTCTTAAATAGAGCATGTGGCATTAATTTTACAATTGAACCACCATTGACAAACACTTTGTTCACTGACATGCCATCTACCTTTGCCCTTATGAACAAAGGTTTAAGATGATACAACATCCCTGGGATTGTTTTCTCAAACACAAACTTCTGTTCTTCGACCATGCCATTGTTCATTACATAGTAGCATAGAGGCTTTTCATCAGTTGCTTCTTCGAAGGTAAAATCTTCTTCATTTTCTGATACCTCTGACACTCTGTCATATTCGACAGGCAGAATAGACACAATTCCATAATTAATGATGAAGTCTTCACCATAATAGTCATCCACCATATGTTCTTCTGGAAAAGGTTCATAATCAGTTTCTTCCTCTTCTTCACCTTCAGACATAGGATTATACTCGGGTGTAGGAGTATATACAACACTTTGTGTTGCTACCAGTTCTTTGTCACCTAAAGGAGCTACCCTCATAGCCAATCTTTACTTAGCAGTAACCTCTCATTTTAAGTTAATCTTGACCTTAGATATGATCCTTTCTGAAGTGGTGCTTCTCCATGATTTGTAACCTCTGTTGGTTGTGTGCTTTCGACACGCCTAATATTCTCGACAAGTTTCTACTGGGAAGTCAAAGCCTCCTTTGCAGGCTTTTTGTTCCTCTAATAACGCATCCAATACGTCCTTATCATTGGATTTTCCCCTTATAATTAGGAGAAACTTGATAATCCTTTGACTCGACCTTCTTTTCTTGGGCCTCAGCTTCATACATAATTACCTTCCACTTTGGCCTTTTGCCCCCCCCCCCTTTTGGCTCACCGGTTCCACCCATTTTTCTTGTTGGATTTTCGACAGAGGGAGAAAGGTTTTCGGACGAGGTTGCTGGAACAATCTTCTGTATTCCTCGTTGCGTCGAGGTATTCCTTCCTTGTCGAAAACAAATCTTGGAACTGAAGGTTTCTCTTGCTCAAGATCCTATTTTTTAAAGCCTCATATTTCCCAGCTGCTTCTTCATCATACACAGTATTGCATCTTGGGCACAAGTTTTCCTTCGAACCTTTCACTCTGCATTTCTCTTGAAAGTCAGTCAAGCTCTCTTCAGTTTGAGGATACACTTCCAGTAATCCCTCTTCCATCTTCAGGCCGAAACTATCATTAGTTCCAACCATCATAACTTATATATCACCAATCATTATGACTTCTCTGTCGAGGCCCTCAGTAGCTTCGACCATCATGCAATCCAAAGGATCTGAATATATAGCCTCATCAACCTTCAAAGGATCAGTGTCGACTTGCATCTTTGGCTTTTCTCCAAACTGAAGCATGTCATCTTTCAAAGCTTTCTGCACCAAATCCCTGAAAAGAACACATTGAGAAGTTTTATGACCAAGAAAATCATGAAATTTTCAGAATCCCCATTTCTTATTTTGTTCAAGTGGGGGATTCTTTAGGCCCTGAGGGACCAAAATTTGACCATCAGCTACTAACAAATCAAATATTTCATCATATTGGGTTATTTCGAAAGTATAGGTCTTGGTGATAGAATTGCCATTCTTTTAAGTTTTGACGGGGGTTTTCCTGTTCGAAGGTTTCAAAATGTTACATGCATAAGGAGGTCCAGGCTGGATTTCAACCATATTAGCCTATGTTTCTTCCCCTAACTCATTTTCGTCAGAAGAATATTCATCAGTTTCTACGTAAGCAAACTTTCCTTTTTTGTGGTACTTGTTTGGCTTGGTTTTTCCAACTTTCAAACGTTTGATCAGTCGAACTTTGATAGCTAAATGAGCCATATCTTTCAAGGACTGAGTTTCCAGCAATTTCTTCCTAATAGAATACTCTAACCCATTTACAGCCATTTCGACCAACTCGTGCTCAGGGACTTGTGTAAAGCATCACGCTTTCAGAAGTCTAAACTTGTTCAGGTATTGGTCTATTGACTCAGTGCTCTTTCATTTAACACTGGACAATTTTGGTAGGCTTATTTTGGACTACCCCATTTGGAATTGTTCATGGAACAATTTCTCTAACTGAATCCACATTTTGACCGACTGTGGGGGGAGCATTGTAAACCAAGTGAACATATTCTTTATGAGGGAATTGGGAAAATACTTCATCCTTAAATCCTCATTCACTACTAAGTCTCTAAGCTTTGTTTGGTATTTGGAGACATGTTCGACAGTGGATTCTTCGACATCCCCTACAAACTTAGTGAATTTTGGGAGTTTCCAGCCTCTTGGTAACTCCGTTTGTAACACAAAATATGGAAATGGTGAGACATACGTAGTCCTCTGGGATCCAGTATTCATTCCATTCCTAACAATTATTCGTTCGACAATGGCTTCTAGGTTTTGTTCTCCAACCACTACTTCACATCGAACTTACCTGACCAATTGGTCGGCATTCTTGTTTCGATTTGCTATTACTATTGGGGGGTTGTTGTACTACCCTAAGTATAGGATCGACACGCTTAGGAGTCCGTGGATCTTGTTCGATTGTTTCATCGGCCACCTCCTTGTACTGCACTGGTTCCTCATGTGGTGGAGGCGTAGTTTGTCGAACTGGCACTCTAGGAGCACCGATAAAATCTCCTATGCGAGTCATTTGAGTTGCTAAAGTCTTATAACTTTGCACCAAATTTTCAATCAAAGGTCTTAATATGAGACTCATCTGTTGAGTAAGCATATTGACCATTTCATGGTTACTTTCATCATGAAAACAACAGTACTTGGGGTGAACATAGACATAATTTGGTTGGAAAATCCCAATCCAGTCGAATGACCAAATTAATTTCCTGACAGCCCTGGAGCACGATATGGGGAAATCGCCGATGCAGAATTTTCACCAAATGTCAGACTGTTGTTAAGTAGTCTTGCCATCATTGTTGTAGGCATTCAATATTCATGTATATTTCTTGCAAAACTAGGCACATACTACCCAGAAGTTGGAATCACACCATCGTGTGTTTCTCTTGCAAAACTAGGCACATACTGCCCAGAAGTTGTGACCATTTATGGTCTTGCAGTTATTGGATGTTGTAACGCGGTGGGAGAACTGACTTGGATATTTTGCGTTTGATCACAATTGTTGCAGTTAGCAAGAGTCGCGGCCGACTTTTCTTTTATCCAAATGGAAAGGCTGAAAAGAACAGGAAAGACCTTTAGAGATGTTGTCTTGAGTTCGGAGGGTAGGTTATGAAAACAGAAGGTATTAGCACCCTTTTCATCCGTAGTTATCTACGAGCTCTTAGTTGCTTGCTAGATCACTTGCTTTTGTTAGAAAATTTTCTCGTGGTGTGAGTTTTGAAAGTATTTCAAAAACGTCTTTGTAATGGTTCTCGTTTCTATAAGAACGCGTACAAAAAGCTTTGTCTTTTGAAAATGTTTCAAGATGAAAGTGTTGGTGTAAAAAAGGTTTTTTGTGAGCAAGCAAGCAATTAGGAGCATCCTACCTACTCAAAAGGTCTAATGTTCTTTTTCTCCTCCTTTAGATGTTGTTATCTTACCATTTATTTGGTAAGAAGCCCCATCGTCGGATGTGAAGGGACAGACGCAGGTCAATCGTACAGTCATAGAAGGCAACTTGTGAGACGCTTTAGCAATTTTTCATAAGGGACTAGATCGTTTTACCGAAGGCAACATCGAGGGACTACGATCTTTTTTATTGAAGGTTCTTTGCTAAAGCGTCCCATATTCGAGGGACATGACTGTATTCTGAGGCAACAAGCGAGGTTACACTAGAGGTGCGCGTGTGAAAAGTGTGTTCGATTCAAGTCAATTTTGTCTTTGATTAGGGTGGTCTAGCGATTGATTTTAAATCTTGTCATACACACCTAATTACTATACAGTATAAGGAAAACAGTAAATTGCGAAAAATTAAGATTCTACGCTATTACAGAGCTTCGGGAATAGGGAATACAAATTTATGAATAGGGATGAAGTAAAATCCTAATTAAACTATTACAAACTGTACATAGTTACAATAATCGAAAGAATGCAAAAAAATAGTAAACTACGAGCAAATAAAAAGAGAAAGAAAAAAAATTTCAGTGTGTTTTGATAGAAAAGAAAGTAAAAAATATAGAATAAAGATGTAACTAAAACAAAAATTAATTAAACTAAATTAAAATAAAATTGGGGAGGTGTAAGTATAAAGCATAGAAGTGGGATAGTCGGCTAATAAATTAGATCCAATAAACTTAAGTTTAAGTTGACAAAATCTATATTTAATTTAAAACTTTAATAAAATAAATAACTAAATAAAATAATGATAATACGAAAAACAAGGAACGCTCACCTAACTTTCCTATTTTAATTATAAAATAAATGAATTTAAAAAAAAAACATAGAACATAAAAAAGTAATGAAAACTTAATAAATGAGGAACATCCTTTTTCTTTGTGAAACTTAGTCGAAATTTTATTAAAAAAAGAATTAAATACAATTAATTGAATAATTATAATAAATAAAAAGGACTTGACTTTTTTAACCATTAAAATTCAATCAATTACATCATAACATTTGGCCTTGATTTAATTAATAATAAAAAAAGAAAACAATACGATAAAGGAAGATTATGATAAAAATTCTCAATCTCTCTATTTCTACGCTAATTCTTCTTCTGCTTTTTTTTATTTAAAAATTTCACAGAAAAAAAGTAAACACTCTGCTTTTTTCTTCTAAAAAATCAATTCTGTCTTTAATCTCTCTCGAACGAATTGCGCAACATATTCAAAAATAAACTTATATCTGGTTTGAAACAACAATAGCAAAGCATAAAAATTGAGAAACGAAAACATGTTACCAATGGTAATTGACAGCAAGATCTGGATAGGGTGTAGGGATGATGGTGTGGAGATCAGAGGAAATTCAGAAGAGAAATTGAATAGAGAGTTAGAGAGAATAGATGAAGAGCTACTGTAAGTTTTTTTTGTTTTTTTTTGTCCCTTTGTACAAAGAGAATGAAAAGCTTTATATAGAAAAGTAAAGAGGAAAATTAATCTCAATTTCAATCAGGTACGTCCAAAATCATACAATATGTATTAATCCGCAAGTTTTGCTATCAACCAATAAGAATTAAGCACAATGTAATTAATATTTTTATGACAAAAAAAAGCCTTTAAATGACAAAAATAAGATAAAAACTTGAAAGTATAAAAAATAACTCAATTTAAAATAATTTTTTTGAATTTTTTTTGAATAAAAAATAAAGCTCCAAAATGACTAAAAACGATAAAAAACGGACAAAATTTTACCCAAAAAAATAAAATGAACACATTAAAATAAATTACATGTCACAAATATTAAAGAAAAAAATATTCAAAAAGTCAAAATCGGAATAAAATGAAAATAAATATATCAGGTTGAACAGACGTTTACGGTTAAAAACGAGACTTTAAATTGTACCAAAAAAATAAAGCGAGCATACCGTCATAATCTATGCGAAATGCAGATTTATAAAATGATCGGTAAAAAGTGAAAACTTGAAATATTTTTCTCGCTAATTTTTTGGCACAATGTCGAATCGCTTTTAACAGTTTGTCTATAAAACCAAAATATTGCTATTATCGACATATAAACAACTTGGAGCAATGCAAGAAACAAGTAAACAGACAGAAATGCATGAAGTGAAATGTCGGGTATTTTTCAACTGCAGAATGATGCAAATGTCGATTTAAAGAGACTTTTGGTCAGCTTAAACGCGACTGGATGATGCAAATGCAATTAATGAAGATATTTACTAATGATTGTGACCAAATGACAAAATATGATATAAAAGTGCGATTGAAAAAATTAGGGTCTAAATTTCGGGTACAACACATAGGTTTAGAACTTTAGGAAATTCTATGTAATTTTGAAAATATTGAGTTTGGAAACTCAAATTTTCTTGAGAAATAACAAACCCTAACTGTTGACTCAATTCCTAGGAGGGGAATCTGTCTGATCAAACCCCAAGCCATTTTGAGTATTTGAGAAACCCTAAGATAACATCTTGAATGAAAATGGGAGGGAAACTTTGGGGTACAATAGTTGCCCTTGTTCAATCTTCTTAAACTTGAAAAGTGAGATTGGCATATTTGTCGTTCGTAGCTTGAAAGTGGAAGATTATTGAACACTAGAGTACCCAGAAATTTTCACTCGTTGATGCACAAAGAAATACCTTGTATTTATTGTATCGAGAATGGGCTTACAAATGCCATTTGGATATATGATGGAGAGTTGTCGGAGATGGGCTTATAGATGTCATCCAAAGGTGATTGTTGACAGAAATTAGACTAAGTTTGAACTTGACTTCAACTGGAAAAGAATCAGAATAAACTTTTTGTCGATTTAAGTTGAAACTAGCAGAAGTCTTGAATGTTGTTTGATTAGAAAGAATCAGAATAAATCTTGGAGCGATTTATCTGAACTAGAGAAAATGTCTATTTGGAAAGTATCAGGGTAAACCGTTGAGAGGTTTAAATTGAACCAAAAGAGGTCTTGGGTATTCTTTAACTGGAGAGAATCAGAATAGATCTTTGAGCCATTTATCTGAACCAGAGAAAGTGTCTACTAGGAAAGAATCAGGATAAACTGTTGAGAGATTTAAACTGAACCAGCAGGGGTCTATAAAAGAATTAGAATAAATCTTAGAGCGACTTATCTGAACCAAAGAAGATGTCTGCGGGGAAGAATCAGGATAAATCGTTGAGAGATTTAAACTGAACCAGCAGGGGTCTGGAGAAGAATCAGAATAAATCTTGAAGCGACTTATCTGAACCAGAGAAGATATCTGCGAGAAAGAATCAGAATAAACCATTGAGATATTTAAACTAAACCAGCAGGGGTCTGGAGAAGAATCAGAATAAATCTTGAAGCGACTTATCTGAACTAGAGAAGATGTCTGCGGGAAAGAATCAGAATAAACCGTTGAGAGATTTAAACTGAACCAGCAGGGGTCTAGAGAAGAATCATAATAAATCTTGAAGCAACTTATCTGAACCAGAGAAGATGTCTGCGGGAAAGAATCAGAATAAACTGTTGAGAGATTTAAACTAAACCAGCAGGGGTCTGGAGAAGAATCAGAATAAATCTTGAAGTGACTTATCTAAACCAAAGAAGATGTCTGCGGGAAAGAATCAGAATAAACCGTTGAGAGATTTAAACTGAACTAGCAGGGGTCTGGAGAAGAATCATAATAAATCTTGAAGCGACTTATCTGAACCAGAGAAGATGTCTGCGGGAAAGAATCAGAATAAACCGTTGAGAGATTTAAACTAAACCAGTATGGGTCTGGAGAAGAATCAGAATAAATCTTGAAGGGACTTATCTGAACTAGAGAAGATGTTTGCGGAATGAATCAGAATAAATCGTTGAGAGATTTAAACTGAACCAGCAGGGGTCTGGAGAAGAATTAGAAAAGATCTTGAAGCGACTTATCTGAACCAGAGAAGATGTCTGCGGGATAGAATCAGAATAAACCGTTGAGAGATTTATACTGAAATAGCAGGGGTCTGAACTAAATATTTGTTTTGTAGATGGTTAACCAGTCCTTTCTCGAGAATTGATCTGTAATTGATTTGTCCATAAATATTTGTCCTGTCGGAAATTTATTGATGATAATTTTCTGTTGATTGATCTTTCCTGAAAAAGTGAAGAATTAGTTGTATGCGATGCCATGACGTATGAAATGCATGGCATGAGATTGAGCTATATGCATTTGTGTTGTCAATGCTATGACGTATGAATGCAATGTATGAACATATTAATCATTCTACTGTAGTGTTGTTGGACTCGGGGAAAATAAATCCCAGAGTACTGTTGGGAATGAGTAGTGTAATTCTTCATATTTTAAAGTTGAAGCGTTGATGGATGAGTTTCCATTATTAGAGAAATAAACTATGTTGGGGAAGGGAAACTTCGTGCATTGCTTGTGGACTTCGTGAAATCCTGCTGGGGATCCTGAGAAGCTGGGCGACTTTCACTGGGGAATTTTTGGAGCGGTAACTGGAAGTTTTGCTCCGTCGGGGATGTGAGAGCACCTGATACCATTAGGCTGCATATTGGAAATACGCTAGTGTTGTACCCCAATTTTTGCCCCTAATATTCCTCTATCATATCATATCAACTCGATCATAACAAGATCACATTAGGGTTGGTTCTTCCTCTTTTTCTATCTCCTATCTTTAAGTTTACTCTTGAGGAATCTCCAAGCACCTTAGTTGTGTATTTTGCATATGTGTTGTTGACTAACTTCTAATCAAAATACAAAAAATATTTGTCTTTGTCTTTGTATATTTTTCTTTTGTAGGTACCAAGTCGAAACATCTGACAAATAAGGATTTCTGGTATTATTTTCCTAAAATCTCTATTTGCAAAGGAAAAATTAACAAAAATTCATTTTTTTCACTGATGCAATTGATTGCTCTTAGAGTGCAATCGATTGCACATAGTGCATTTTGCGCCATTTTTGAAAAAAGACACTGTGCAAATCGATTTGCACTATAGTGCAATCGACTGCACAGTGTGCAAATTTGGAAAAAATCAACAATTTTAAACTTGTCAAATTTTGGCTCCAATTTTCCTTCATTTTTGAAAGATGTACCATTAATTCAAATTTTAGTGCCAATATTTCATTTTTAATAAGAATTATCATTAATTCTTTGGCTCTAATATTTGAAAGAATTATCATTAATTCAAATTTTGGCTCCAAGAATCAATTACCAAATTACCACTAATCCCAATCCTAAACTCTATAAATAGAGCCCTCATTTCATTCAAATTTCAAGCTTTTGATAGCCAAATCCACCTTGCTAAAAAATATCTCAATTCTCTCCATCTACCAACGGCTTTAGATTTTGTTTCTATGGCCTGTAGAGGATTTTTGAAATACACATACCTATAGCAACGGACCCTGTCCGTAGGTATAAGTGGTATAACTTTTAGCCACGGTTCAAGAACAGGGATGAAGGCGTGTCACTCCCACATAGGATTATTCGAATCTGGCGCGTTTTTTTTGTTACAATTGTCCACTAACTTTTTTTCTTCTTATATTATATTTAATTCTTGGCATATATACAAAAACAACCAACAGCCCAGCTGGTTACAAGCCATTGAAAATTGCCATCAGGACCTGGGTTCGAATCCCAGGTCCCCCTATTTCTCTATTTCATTTTATTACATGAAATCTAGTGCACGCATGAGCTTGGGGTCCATCATACTCCCTCGCCATCCAACACGCCAGATGGCCAGATGGCCAGATCTGGTGGCCATCGTTGAAGGCACACCATAGACCAAGTCAATGCATATGCGCAGGATCCAGAAAGTCAAATGGACCTTCTCCAATTGGGCCAGCATTCTTGCTATTGGCACACCACTTTCAGGCCCATCTCTCTCTTTTTTTATATTTTGTTTATTTTCATTTAATTATTTATTTATTTATTTACTTAACCAAAAATTATTTTCTTTTTTATCAAAAAATCACAAAATATTTTTATGTCCAAATAAATCAGAA